AGGGCCGGGGGGGGGGAGGGTAGGAGGTAATGTGGGTATAAGGACACATATGTAATATCTTAATCAATAAAAAAATATAAAAAAAATAAAAATATTACAAATTAAAAAAAATAAAAAAACTTAATGGACCTTAGTAGTAGAGAACACTTTATGAACTTAACTCCAAAGGCAAGGAAAGTAAAGGCAAAAATAAAGGAAAGGGACAACTAGTATATCAAACTATAAAGCTTCTGCACAGCAAAAGAAACTGACAAAACAAAGAGGCAGAAAACCAGATGGGAGATACTTGCAAACAGTAGTTCCGACAAAGGTTTAATTTCTAATATATATAAAAATCTCATAAAATTCAACACCAAGCAAACAAACAACCCAATCAAAAAGTGGGCAGAGGGCCCGGTCAACGTGGCTCATTGATAGAGCATCAACCTATGAACCAGGAGGTCACGGCTCGATCCCCAGTGTGGGGCATGTAGGAGGCAGCCAATCAATGATTCTCTCTCATCATTGATGTTTCTCTCTCCTTCTCCCTTCCCCTTCCCCCTCTTCCTCCCTGAAATCAATATATATACGTGTGTGTGTGTGTGTGTGTGTGTGTGTGTGTGTGTGTGTGTTTTTGTTGTTTTTTCTTAAGTGAACAGAGGACCTGAAAATACACCTCTCCCAAGAAGGCATACAAACAGCCATCAGATATATGAAAAGATGTTCAACCTCACTGCCAATTAGGGAAATGCAAATCAAAACTACAATGAGATACCACCTCACACCTGTTAGAGTGGCCATTATCACCAAGACAAACAATAACAAGTGTTGGAGAGGTTGTGGAAAAAGGGAATCCTCATTCACTGCTGGTGAGAATGGTACAACCACTATGGAAAGCAGTCTGGTGATTCCTCAAAAAATTAAGAATAGAGCTACCATACGATCCAGCAATCCCTCTTCTGGGTATATACCCGAAAAACTCAAAATCATGTATTCACAAAGATATATGCACCTCTATGTTCATTGTAGCATTATTTACGGTGGCCATGACATGGAAACAACCAAAGTGTCCTGCCATAGAGACTGGATAAAGATGTGGTACATATACACAATGGAATACTACTCAGCCATAAGAAAGGATGAAATAGCACCATTTGCAACAACATGGATGGACCCTGAGAACATTATGCTAAGTGAAATAAGTCAGTCAGAAAAAGCTAAGAACTCTATGATTTCACTTATATGTGGGGTACAAAAATGAAACTTATGAACACAAACAGCAGTGCAGTGATTGCCAGAGGGAAGGGGGTCGGGGAAGCATGGGTCCTAATATATGGTGACAGGAGAAGATTTGACTTTGGATGGTGGGCACATGGTGCAATATACAGATATTGTAACATAGAAACCCACACCTGAAACCTATATGTACGTTCATGTTGACCAACGTCACCCCAATAAATTTAAATTAATTAACTAATTAACTAATTAGATGATAATGATGGTTTTAAGCTAAAAACATACTATTAAGGACATAAAGTCCAAATCTACATTTTTTAATTTTTAAAAAAAGAGGGGAAATCTTTACAAATTCAATAATTTATTTCTTCAAAATTATCCTCCATAAAAGAAATACTAATTTCACCAGAAAGAATAATTACTAATGCACTGCTTACCATAGTATGCAGAAGCATTTACTTTTTTCTAGTAAAAATATACCAGGCAAAGTATAAAGAGTGCTAAATATGCTTACTTGCACTAGACTCAAGAGTTCCTCTTCATGTATACAAAGCCCCTTTCTAATAAAAGTATTCAAAGGGGGATAAAATTTCTACTGGAAAGCCTATTTCTAAAGCCAACTGCCACTCCTTGAAGGCTAAGGCTGTCTCTTGCTAAACTCTGAATCCTTGCCATACTTAGTCAACAGCAACATCTCAACCAAATATGATGAACGAAATATGTTTAATACTTTAGCTACCTCTTTCACTGTCTCCAATTTTTCCCCCTAAAAATGAACTAATTCTGACTATTAATCTCTGTTGGAGCAAATGATCTTGGGCTACTGTTCTGAATCATCATCTCTATATAAGGACATCAAAAGGATATAGCAAATATCAACTGTGAGCAGACTAGTTCAGTGATGGTGCTTAAGCAGGAACTGGAACTAGATTGAGAGATTTTTAAAAAAACAGTATCACATGCACCAAAATATGCAGGTACAGCCATAACTACATTACAGTTCAAGTTGTCTTGCAGGATAACCTTGTAGAGTTTTTTCAATTAACCCTACCCAATTTCACAGTTCTTCTATTGTTGAGCAATGTGTTCACACCACATCTCGCTCAGGTAATGAATCTACTCCAACTCAGATGTATCTCAAGGACTCAGGTAAAAACATGGACAACTCAAGTAAGTCAAAGGGCCAGGTAGCCATATGGGTTTCTATTTTTTCAGGCATCACAGCTTCTCTGCTGAGCCAGGGAGAAGGGACACATGTTTGTAGGAGTATGTTTGCATCCTGGACTGCAGACCAAATTTCATGCCCTTTGCTAGTAGCCCACAAGTTAAATGCAGCAGCCTATGTAACTAAGAACACTTACAAAACAAGCCTCAACTAAAACTACCCGCTTGCTCCACCTTTCCAAGCAGTTCCAAATATTCTACAAGATATACTTAATCAGCACCAGAAATAAGAAGCTTGTTTTCATCAAAATATTATTTTAACCTCTGGAGACTCTTGGAGACCATGTTAACCCAGACAATAGACCATGTTCAACTTCTGACCATGGCAAAAATCCCAAGTGCAGGCTGCCAACTAGAAACAAGTACTCAATTGCCCAGCCAGTTTTGCTCGGTAGTTGAGCATCACCCCATGCACCCAGACGTCACTAGTTTGAGTCCCAGTCAGGGCACATTCATTTATTCACATTCTCTCTTTCACCATCTCTACCTTATTTGTCATTTTTCACTTTAAAATGCATACACCAAATTATAAAAAGATGTAATCCAAACTAAAACTGTACACCTAAAACACTGGCTCCAAATCAAAGAATTAATGAAACGACTTATATTTTTCTGGCTCAAAAAAGATAATAAACATTTTATTTTAAAAAACATATAACAAAATCCTAATAGTAAGGGTTTTACTTGCTTTTGAGGTCCCCCACAATCACCCCCTAAAGACAGTTTCTCCATTATTCGACAAATATAATAACATAACTCTCTTTTCAAACACACCTCGGATGTCAATACGAACAGCCAATCAAGTGTTCTTAGAGATTAAGCATTTAGAAACTTTTTATACAAGTTAAAAATAAAATATAAATACCTTTGGTGCTACTGCTTAGTTTGACCCTTTTTCTCTTGCCCAGACCTTGACTTCCATCCTGATCCTCCTGGAGGAAAACAGAATTAGCATTATAATAATGCTATTCATGAATTTATATATTTTACATAAATATATGTATGTTTATAAATGATTAAATATAATATAGTCATGCTTACATATTATTAATCAACACATTTTACTTTTCTGTATTTGCTCTAGTATCTTTTAATGCTGCTAATTTTGATTAAATTACATAATGAAAATCCTTCGTATTAAAATATAAGAGCTCTTAAACTTAATCTGTTCTTCTAATGCAAAATGCCAAAATAAAAATTTTCCTAACCTTATAAACATCATTTCATACGAACAAAGAAGCTGAAGGGGGAGTCGAGCAGACTGGCATAGGAAGAAAGGAGAGAAGGAGCAGAGGACTAAAACAATCAATAAAGAAAAACGCTTTGAAGAGTCTAAGACAAAGAAAAGTCATAATCTGCACCTGGGGAAATCATTTGGATGCCCAGGAAAACATCTTGGAGTGGTTTGAGGCAGTCTCAAGGGATGGTACACTGCACCACAGCAACAGAGTGGGAAGCTAGGGAGCTGAGACAACACAAAGGGAGGAGGAACAGAGGAAGCAGCCTGCCGATGGTGAAACCAAGGTGTGGCTAGAGGTGTGCATCTTAGGGAAGGAGCCCTGGGCACAGGCGCACATTTCTAATTTTCTTTAAATGTTGCTGAAAAGGCCCTTGCTTTCTTTATAGCTGAATTCAGGAGTTCTTCCCCTCCAGCTAAATGTTATGATTCCACTCCATTTTCCCAGCTTTCCTAAACTAGGAAATTGCATATGAATTCAAAACTTCTATGCTATACTATCATTTTCCTATTTTCCAAACATATATGAGTCAACTGGTATTATAAGGACATGTATGGTAGCATTTTGGCATATAGTCTGCTAACAATGGAGTTGGTGGCATGTTAGAATGTAATACAAATTCCCAGATTTCTCAAGTAGAGCCCATCAAATCTTGAAAGCAGAAAAGTAGTCTCGGATTCATGCTGCTGTTCTATCTACTATTATAGCTTCCTTGGCCTACACACCATAGTCTTAATTTCTGGTTTCTATCAAGTCCAGCATCAGTCCTCAGGGCCAGTCTGGGGTTTTCCAGAGCTACATTCCACATTTACTGAGCACTTCAATATGCCCTCCCTATTAATCCCCACCCTTGCCAAGGCCTCCATACTAATCTACCAGGCAGCAGGACTGACAAACTACTACTCCTCCTCTGCCACCCTCACCCTTGCCATTGGAGAAACTCAACCAGAATAAAACTTGGAGCCTTAAAAGACAGAAAACAGACACAAGAATGTAAAATCAGCCCTGGCCAGTGTGGCTCCGTTGGTTGGGTGTCATTCTGTGCACCCAATGGTTGCTGGTTCGATTCCCAGTCAGGGCACACGCTCTGGTTGTGGGCTTAATCCCCAGTGGGGGACGTGCAGGAGGCAGCTGATCAGTGTTTCACTCTCACATCAATATTTCTCTCTCCCTCTCCTTTTCTCTCTCTCTCTCTAAAAATCAATTTTTTAAATCTTAAAAAAAATAAAAGAATGTTAAATCATGCCACAGGACCCAGGGGATTCCAAAGTTTGAGATTTTAGCTAATAGCCATTTATTCTGAAACTGTTCTCCCAGCCCTGAGAAAAAAGACAAATTTGGAAAATCTATGTTATATCCCAGGTTAGGATTGCTTAATTATTTCTCTTTTTTTAAAATATATTTTTATTGATTTCAGAGAGGAAGAGAGAAGGAGAGAGATAGAAACATCAATGATGAGAGAGAATCATTGATCAGCTGCTTCCTGCACGCTCCCTACTGGGCATCAAGCTTGCAACCTGGGCATGTGCCCTGCCCGAGAATTGAACCATGACCTCCTGGTTCATAGGTTAACACTCAACCACTGAGTCACGCCACTGGGTGGCTTCATTATTTCAAATATAAACTTCCTATGAAAAGAATATCCTTGATCAACCAGTGGTCTTGGAAATACAAAGTTTTATAAATTTCCAAGTCTTATAGTCTAAAAGACAAGTAAAATTAGTTGGACAAAGGAGGGGAACATCATTCCAAAAAGATAAGACAGCATAAGCAAAGGTGCAATAACAAAAGTCCATAAACATAGACCAGTGAGGTGGGCTGGACATCATAATATATGTCAGCCAAAGCAAGGAAAGACGATTATCTCCATCTAAACTGGTGGGAAAATGGGTACTCTTATACACTGTTGGTAACATTATACAACAGTACAATTTTCCTGAATGACAATATACTTGTCATAAGTCTTTAAAGTGTATTTATCATTGGAACAGAAATTCCAGTTCTGGAAATTTATCCTAGAGAAATAGGAACAAGTAAACAGGAACTATATGTATAAGTATTCATCACATTTTATTTATAACAGGGGAAAAAAAGAATCTTTGGCTTCCATCAACAGGGTACACAGTAAATAAATTATAGCACACTTTGTACCCTTTGAAGAAAAACAATGCTAGAGTTCTAAATTCACTGTGACCAGAGAGATGTTCAAAAGCTATTAAAAATGAGAAAAGGATCTCATATGTAGAATAGCATATGGAATATAAAACCATTTAAGTATTGGTAATATATATATATATATATGTGTGTGTGGGTGTGTGTGTGTGTGTGTGTGTGTGTGTGTATGATCTATCTATAGAAAAGCCTAAGCAGCCAGAACACCAGAATGACTGAAACTACTGGTCACTATGATGCACACTGACCACCAGGTGGCAGATGCTCAACGCAAGAGCTGCCCCCTGGTGGTCAGTGAGCTCCCACAGCCAACCTCCCATGGCCGGCCAACCTCCCGTGGTCCCTCCCCCCATCCGGCAGGCCCTGGCCGGCAGCTGGCAGCTGGAAGGAAGGCCCCGGCTGGCAGCCAGATAGCCCCAATAAGCCCTGATCACCAGCCAGGCCTAGGGACCCCACACATGCACGAATTTCATGCACCAGGCCTCTAGTACACAAATAAAATCTGTTAAAGCATACTTCTTGTGACAGATGTTCAAAAAGACAGTTAGTGAAAAAGGCAGAATACTGAATAGCACGTACAGCATGAAACCCTTAAAATATATTATATATGGGGTGGGTTAAAAGTGAGTTCACAGTTGTTGGTATGAAAATAATGCAATAATTAATAAATAATAAGAATAAACTGTTTTGTGTACTCACAACTGTAAGCCTGCTTTGCCCACCCCAGTATAAAAATGTTAGAATACAGATGTTTATAGTAAGACACCTCAAAGTGATAAGAATAATAGGTAATTTTATTATATTTTTGTTAATGTCTATTTTCTCTTTACTCAATAATGAATATGGATTGCAGCTCTAAGTTAATTTTTTAATAGTCTATTAATTTTTAGAGAGAGAAAAGGTGAGGGAGAAAGAGATAGAAACACCAGTGTGAGAGCACATCAATCGGGTGCCTCCTGCATGCTCCCCAACAGGGGATCAAGCCCACAAGCCAGGCACATGCCCTTGACTAGGAATTGAACCAGCAATTTCCTGGTGCACAGAACAACGCCCAACCAACTGAGTCACACCAGTATTTTAAATACTAGTTCAGATTTCCAATCCTAATTGCAATAATCTGCATAAGATAATGGGCTACTGTGCTATCTATTACAACTCTATCACTAACTAGATAAAATTCACTAGCCTGAGTAAATCAGTTAATTCTGTGGAATTCAGCTTCCTCTTCCATAAATAGGTTAAGCAAGATAGACTTTAAGGTCACTTTTAGCTTTAACATTTTTAATGTTTATAACCTTCAAATTGTCTCCTCCTAATTCTCATTTTTGCTTTGTTATATTACAAGATTTTTCTATTTCTAACTCAAGATATAGAAGTCAGAAAGCAAAGACTTTGTAGTATATAAATCAATAAAACAAATGAATGTTTTTGTATAAAAATTATGATCACAATCTTAAAACAGAAAATTGCCTGACTTTATCGCTAAAACTCTTCTAAGATTGCCCTGGGTAGTGATCTTATCTCTATACTTTTCCATACTTTTCACTTCAAATATTTGTGTGCGACTTTTATAATCAGAAAGAAATACAATCCATAAAAATTCCAAATATACATACCCTATAGCCTAGCAATTCCATAACTTAGGGAACTATATGCACATCTGCACAAAAATAAATGTAAACATTATCTTCAAATAAAAAAACTGAATATTAAGAAAATGACTGGATAAACTGCACAATACTATACAGCAGTAATAAAGAGTATTGGCAAAGAGGGATTAACACAATACATTATGGAGGAAATAACAGGACACAAAATAGTGTAACCTTTTTTATTTATTCACACACACACACACACACACACACACACATACACACACACGCACTACCCATTTCTGTAAGCACATAGTTATTTAACTACATAGAAAATGGTCTGTCAAGGACAGCCAAACTATTAACTGTAACCCACAGGGGATTTTTATTTTATCTGAATTGTCTGGCAAAGCAACTAACATGTATTCATTTGTGCATTATTTAATTTTTAAATATAAACTTCATTACTTTTAAACCATGCTTTAGTAAACCAATTCCTCTAAAAAGATGAGCAGAAATACCTACAATATGACCCATAAGAGTTCAAAAATTCTAATACTTGAACCCCTTCTACACATAAAGGACTAGGACAGAAAGCATTTATCAAGTTCCTAATTTGTGTTGGTCCATGATAGGTACTTTACATATGTTATCCCATTTAATCCTAACATGAGAATTATCATCATTTTCTTCATGAGGAAATTGATGTTCAGAAGTTAAATAACCTGGCAAAAGCATAGAGATATTATAAGACAAGATTAAGCTCAGGTCTGCCTAACTCTAAAGCTCAAATATCTCTTAAAGAAAAACTAAAGTAGATGTTCCTCAATCTACCTCCAACTAAACAACTCTACCTCAAATTCTTAAGCTTTCAAATGTCCAAATGACCTATTTTTAGCTCAATTAGAAAACATAATAAGCTATAAAAAGTACTCTGAAATATACTAGAAGTTTGATTATAAAATGTGATTTAGGGATCAAATGTGATTTAGGGATTAAACTACTTTTAAATATATGTATAAATTAAATATACATTACATGCTCTAAAAGTAAATCTCCAAAACAACAAGAAAACCCACTGCGTGGAAAAACATATTTGCCAACGTCATATCTGATAAGGGCCTAATCTCCAAAATTTATAGGGAACTCATACAACTTAACAAAAAGAAGATAAACAATCCAATCAAAAAATGGGCAAAGGACCTAAATAGACACCTTTCAAAAGAGGACATTCAGAAAGCCAAGAGACATATGAAAACATGCTCAAAGTCACTAATCATCCGAGAGATGCAAATCAAAACAACAATGAGGTACCATCTCACACCTGTCAGAATGGCTATCATCAACAAATCAACAAACGACAAGTGCTGGAGAGGATGTGGAGAAAAAGGAACACTCGTGCACTGCTGGTGGGAATGCAGACTGGTGCAGCCACTATGGAAGACAGTATGGAGTTTCCTCAAAAAACTGGAAATGGAACTCCCATTTGACCCTGTGATCCCACTTCTAGGAATATATCCCAAGAAACCAGAAACACCAATCAGAAAGGATATATGCACCCATATGTTCATAGCAGCACAATTCACCATAGCTAAGATCTGGAAACAGCCTAAGTGCCCATCAGTAGATGAATGGATTAGAAAACTGTGGTACATCTACACGATGGAATACTATGCTGCTGTAAAAAAGAAGGAACTCTTACCATTTGCAACAGCATGGATGGAACTGGAGAGCATTATGCTAAGTGAAATAAGCCAGTCAATGAAGGAAAAATACCACATGATCTCACTCATTCATGGATAATAAAGACCATTACAAACTTTTGAACAATAATAGATACAGAGGCAGAGCTGCCTCAAACTGATTGTCAAACTGCAGTGGGAAGGCCAGAGAGGGTTGGGGGGCAGAAGGGAGGGGAGTAAGAGATCAACCGAAGGACTTGTATGCATGCATATAAGCATAACCAATGGACATAAGACACGGGGGGGGGGGGGGGGCCAGGGGATTGTCAAGGGCGGGGAAAAAAAAGGACACATATGTAATACCCTTAGTAATACTTTAAGCAATAAAAAAGAAAAA